TGATTGCTGTTCGGCAGTTTGGAGCACTCAGTAGCTACCTCTGCATTTGGTAAGGGAACGTCCTATGCTGCAGTAACCCCTCTCCTACCGGGGGAGCCGTAACACCACCTATATCTTATATTACGATTTCTGCGTAACTCTGCTATAGGCTTGAGGGCCCTTCTCGCCTGAAGGGTATACCACGACAGGTCCGGGAAAATCTGTATCGGGCTGCCGTGGAAGAGCAGTGGTTGCGTGGTGTCTCTTAGGGCCTTCACTATGTTGTCTTTAATGGAGAACTAATGCAACCTGCAAATGATGTCTCTCGGTGAGTCTTGGGCTAGACCTCTTGGGCGCAGTGATCTATGTGCTCTGTCAAGCAGTATTTGATTCTCACTAGGTTCTCCTAGGATAAGATTGAAGAGCTCTATGAGTAATGTGTTAATGTCTTCGCCTTGGATTCCTGGAATTCCCCTAATTCGCAGATTATTCCTGCGTCCGCGGTTATCAAGGTCGTCTATATGCCGCTGTGTTGATGACATAAATTGAATGTGGGAATCTATTGTTGTTGCTATGTTGGTTATTTGGGCTTGTAACACGTCCCTTTCTTCTTCTAGATCAGTGACCCGAAGATTGAGTTGTTGGACGTCGGAGCCCATCTCTTCCATTTTGGTTTGGAAGGAAACTTCGAGCTTGCTTAACATTTATTGAATGTCGGCTTTTGAAGGGAAGTTTCTTATTAGTTGCCTGATGTCTGAACGGATTCAAATGATTTTTGGGTATGTTTGTATTTGAAATGTGCTGATTAATAATATGTTCTTTTTATTAATGATGGATGTATAGTCTAGAGTTATGAAAGTTGGGTAAAAAGTATGTTTAAACTGTACGGCTAATTGTGTTACCTCTCAGGCTAAGGGGAGGAGATGTGTGAGATGTAACCAGTGTGTGATTGGGTAATTCATAATTATCTGTGGGCGTCTCCCTTGCATGGGAGAATTGCATAAAAGCAGAGTGTGTGTCATTAAACCTCAGTTCTTCTTCACCCACAATCTGAGTCCTGTCTCTTATTGGGGGAATCTGCTACAAGGGATTTCTATGCTCGTCATACTCTCTTGCTATAATCACTGAGCTCTTGTAAGAGCAGTTCTATTCCTGCTACGCATCCATGGGGAAAGAGGTTCATCTACTGGAGCTGGTTCGTGGCCTTGGGTCCAGGGTGGGTGGAGACGGCGAGACCCCGGCGCAGCTGCATCACTGGAAGTGGGGTCTGCAGTGCTGATGGTGTCAGTTGGAGTGCTTGGAGTCCTCGGCGAGCACTAGGAGCATCGATTGGCGGAGGTACTCGATCGGAGTACTGGAGCTCCGTCACAATCACGATTTGGCATTTGGTGTTTTCCCTGGTTGCCCCTGAGTTTGGGGATGTTTTTTAGGGTTGCCCATTTCTTTTAAATTTCTCCAATTGTAGTGGATTGTATTTGGGTCCTGAGGAGCAAGTTTAGAATGCATCAATCACGATCCTCGGTTAGCCACGCCCCGTCCTATGTAAGAATAATTTGTGTCTCTTTTCACAACTACAGGAATCTCCACTGATAATTACTGCACTACGATCATAACCAGCTGGTTGGTACCGCAAGAAATATTTTTTTCAATATTTAGGCGATTGTGGAATTATCACAGAACTTAGGTGTCAGATCACTCAGCCCTATGTTTACCTGAGCCGCATGGCTATTCAGAGGTGGAGGGTAGATTGACATAGCAATGGGGTATGTGTGAAAAGATGACACCCAGGCCATGCTTGTCACTCTGATCCTTTGTACCAAATGGAAACAGGATTTGACCTTTAGAGGTGGAGACAGCGGAATAGGAAGGGCTTCTGTCACCATTACCCCTTTTCTATCCGTCTGTGCTGTTGTCATAGCATTTTCAGAGGAAGAAATGAAAATGAGTTTCTTACTGTTATGTTACTCCATCATGTGTAGATTGCACTATTGTGCCTGGCATTTCAAAATAAATCTGCGAACATCCTATCCAGAGCGAAAATGATTATTTTAGTGCACTAGAAACCTACTACACATAAGCCTTGCATCCAAGTTGGAGAGCTTGGGGGCAGCCTACATAGTCATGTAAAGGTAGTGGTTAATTGAAACTCCATTTGGCTCTCACTCTCTAAGGCCCATCATATTCCCAAATAAACACAAACTGCTTCATTATGATAAACAAGTTTTGATGCTTATAATATAAAATGTTTATTCTTGTATATGTGCAATCTCGCTTAATAAAATTATTTAAAAAATAAAATCAGAGTCCTCACTAAAATAGTTTATCATATGTACATCTCATGTTAAAATTAGTTAGGAATAAGTAGGTGTAGGTACACTTTGAAGTGGTGGTGGGCATAAACATGTTAAATATTTTATATTTAAAATGATGACGCAGTGTTTTCGATATTTTTTATCATTTACAGTCCTTGGTGTGTGGCCGTTACATTACAAAGGATTCTACCCTGCATATGGGGAGTTTCTCCGCACCAGATGTCCTGATGCGCCAGATCCTGCATTAGGTCTCAGCCTGGGTACATAGTCAAAACGTTAGATGAAAAATCAAGGGAAGAGACTTTTACTAGACCAAGAAGGGATCACATGGCCTCCAGACTCCACCAGTTCCGACATTTCTCATTCCAAAGACAAGGATGAAGGTAAACTGACTCCAGGAGAATTAAGGAATTATGTAGTCTTTTACCATGCAGCTGAGCGATTAATATACAGAAGATACACGCAGGACAATGTCACATATTAATACCATTTGAGCATTAGAATGGAATGCTGAAAAATTCAGGCCTCCGTTACCCAAATGTTAAACTCCTTTTCATAGAGCTGAATTCCTCCTGCTGTCTTCAGTTACTACAGAAGTCCAACTGTAACAGATAACAGACTCCTTGAAATGAATTGTGGCTATATTCTTTTTATTTAAAGTCTTGAGCCACCCATTGGTTCCGATAATCTTGTAATGATTGCACTGTTCAACAGAAGTTCCCAAATGCCAAACACAGAACATAAAGACTAGAGTGGATATAAAGCATTAGAACGTGCTATAAAGACTGATCTGCAAAATACAATACTGGTACAGGGAAGGATACATGTTTGAAGACTTTAGAAGCAAGCTAAAAATTCTTCAATTTAATATTTTTGGATAAACTTTTAAATATATATTTTTTAATTCTTTTTTCTCAAGGTGTTTAAAGTGACTGTACATCTATTTACAGTTCCTTCTCAAGGTGTTTAAGGTGAATTTTCATTTACTCAAAATATTTAAAGTGAAAGTTCGTCCTCTCAAGAAATCTTAAAGCGACAGTTGCTTCTATAAATTTCTTCAAGGTTATATTCAACCTATTAAAAAATATATTCTTTTATTATTGGAAATATCATCCTTAAGTGACAAATTAAAGAGTTGATTCTGCAATTGTGTTCCAATTTTTTCAAATTCTAATTAGCATAACACATGAGATAACAATCCGAAGTGCCTTGGGCGGTATCCTGGCGGTACAGGACGGTATAGCCTGGCGGTACAGGGCTTATCTCATCGGCTTCTACTTTTTGTCTTTGTCGTTAGTAGTGTAGGCAGGGAGTGGCGGGCCTTTGGCAAGAAGTCAAACCATTCTAAAATGGTTTCGCAAATTACAATACAGCAAGCTGAGTGATTATGGTGCATAAAGAGTTACTTTGAATTTGAATTGTTAAATTTAGCCTAAAATACCCAGTCAATGACTACAGCTGATGTGACTAGAGATGAGAATTATTTTCAGAGCAGCTATTTTAGCCTAAATTTTACAATTTGGATTTAGTTTGCAATGGAATACACGTAAAACGACAGAAAGGAAAATTACACTATAAGATTATTGATTTTATTAAAGGACACAGAGGCTCTTATTATGCTTTCCTCTTTCTTTTATTCCTCAGCAGCAAAAGAAAATATTGTATGTATATTCAATGAAAAAGAAACAATTCAATAACACTACATCATAACTCCTAAAGGGTTAACCAAGTACCACATATGAACCAATCAGAGTGTGCCTATTACAATAAAGTCCCATGTGACCCTAAGCCACTCCTCTTTCTTTTGCTGCTGCAGCCTCAGATAAGTACAAGAATTTTTCCTCCTCTGTTTCTGACAGTTAAAATGGGTTTGCTGTTTTAGTCAGATTACCTTTTCTCTCCTTTACTTCTATCAGGGTTTTGATGTGTTAATACTTTTCCTGTTTTCTCTTCCCTTTGGGTCTTGTCCTCCCTGCACTTCTTTCCCTCTCTCTCCCCCCCGAACCCCGGTTGGTTTGTTTATTTCCCGACCGTTTTTGTCCCCCATTCCCTCCACTTGGGCTCCCCCTCACACAGGTACCGCTGCCGGTCGCGGTCCCGGCGGTCCGCGGTTATCACCGCGGCTGCGGCCGCCCGCGCATGCGCACAACGCAAGTGCGCATCGCGGCGTCCATCTTGGGGTTGGCAGTTTTGCCGCGCTTTTGCTAGCGCGGCCAATACTGCTCGTTTGGGGGCGGGAGTTTGGTCTTTGTTGCTGGGCAAGTCTCCCGGTGTTCCCCAGGAGCTTATTCCTGTGGGAACACTCGGTGAGCTTGCTGCAATTTTATTGTTGTCTTGCCTAATTAGCAATTTGGTTAAAATTGGTGCCTGGTGCCTGCTAGTTTTTGATAATATTATAGTTGGGGTTTATCCATACTGATAGCCTGTTTAGTGGATATACTTTACCATTCTGCCTGTACTTACTGTCCTTTCCACCCCAGACATGCAGGCTGAGAACGTACCAAATAGTGCCACAAAGCATAGAGCCACCATAACCACCCCACCCCTGCAAGGGCCCACAATGTCCACAGCGTTGGAAACAGCGCAAGAGCATATGGACTCAGAGGAGTTACATTCTCTCTTAGACGCGGCTATGGCAAAGTCTGTGCCGCAGGCCATATTTACCGCCATGGGTGCCATGTCAGATTATCTCATTCCATAACCAATGCGATGAGAGCCACGCAACTGCCGCCAAACCCCATGGCTAACCCCCCAGAAAATAAACCAGTGGCCCCTAGTGGGCGTAAAGCAGCTAAATAGTCTCGCCATTTTGATGAGTATGCCTCCAAAAACCTACAGACGGACAGGGCACGTCCTGTCACAGAACCTGTGGTTGGACCACAACTAAGAGCCCCTCACCGGGCAAAATCGGTGAGGAAATGGAAGAGGGCTAAGGCCCTAATCGAATCCTCCAACTCTGAATCGGGGCAAGAGGAGGCACAGAGCGAGTCCGAGGAGGAGGACTCTGATGATTCTAATAATCAATTGCTGGAAAATGACTCCGTCACATTCACGGGTATGGACCACAAAGATGGAGCTGATGACTCCGCCCTAGTTGACCATCGGGGCGAACCATTGTTCGACCCGGACACCCTACAACACCCGAGGTCCTCCAAGTGGTACCCACTGGACCACGTAGCGAAGTATATCGCTGCCCGCATCAGAAAACCACTGGATAAGGTGGCGCGGAACAAACTGCGGGCAGAATGCCCACGCCCTACGATCCCGGATATGGCATGTGCCACCCCAGAGGTGGACCCAAAAATCACCAATTTTTAGGAAAATCAGGCTGGAAGGCCAAGAAGGGCCTGGATTTTGCTGGGCAGAATTGCCAGCATAAGGTATTGGACATCCTCAGAGGGTGGATCCAGTGTGCCGTATGTCTTCTGGGCAACGGCGGTGGCCATGGAAAGACACAAAGCGATCCTAATTAAAATAGAGCCTAGGCTAGTAAACCTAGCTATCTCAGAGCCTGGTTCCCCAGGCTAAAGCCCTCCTATTTGGGGATAACTTCGTAAAAGAATTAGGCTCATATGTGGGCACCTTTACGGCACTTGATAAGGCTCAAGCCAACATGAAGCGAGTGTTCCATCAGAGAGTTTTTGGCGGGGCCGGCAGATATCGGGGGCCGTCTGCCCGGCCGCTCGCTCCGGGGCTCATACCGGGGCTCTCGTGGCTCTGTGCAATCCAGATTCACACCTCCGGAACCCAAACAAGCCTCACCGTTCTTCAAGAGGTCCAGGCCCTAGCCTCCAAGGGGGCAATTTTACAATCCCCACTGTCACCCCAGGTTTCCTAAGCAACCTATTCTTAGTACCCAAAAAAGGTGGAAGCGTTCGCCCAGTCATCAACTTGAGACCTTTAAACATGTTTGTCACATACCATCACTTCAAGATGGAAGGTATACACTCTCTCCGGGACCTCCTCCTCACAGGGGATTGGATGGTCAAACTCGACTTGAAGGACGCATATCTCACGGTCCCAATGGCCGACGACTGCCAACACTTCCTGCAATTCCGATGGGAAGAGACCATGTGGCGATTCAAATGCCTACCGTTCGGTCTCTCATCGGCCCCTGGTGCTTCACAAAGCTCATGAAACCAGTGGTCGCCCTCCTACACGGCAAGGGAGTGCGGTTCATAATATACCTGGATGATATCCTCATCATGGCGCAAGACCCGCATCTGTTGCACGAACATTTCTCTTGGACGAGAAATCTGTTAGAAAACCTGGGTTTTTTGATCAATTGGGAGAAGTCGGTCATCGAACCCTCGCAAGCAATAGAATTCCTGGGATTCACCATAGACGCGGTGGCCGGAACACTCCTACTCCCAACGGCCAAGGTCAAGGCCATCAAAAAGGAGCTCAGGCGGACGCTAGCACGTCCTGTCCTTACTTTGAGACAGCTGGCCAGGATTGTCGGCCTCCTCCCGGCGTCAATTCAGGACATCTTCCCCGGACCCTTACACTATAGGGCACTTCAACGATTAGGCAAAATACCTTCGTTTGGGGCACTCATACTCAGATTCTGTTCCTCTCGACTGTGCTGCCAAAGACGAAATCAAGTGGTGGCTACAGCACATGGAAACCTGGAATGGCCGCGCGATCTTCGGAACAGCTCCGGACCTCATAGTGGAATCCGATGCAAGCTTGCTCGGTTGGGGTGCGTGCTGCGGACCTTTCTCCACCGGAGGAAAATGGTCCATAGAGGAACAGGGACTTCATATCAATTGCCTCGAACTGTTGGCAGGTTCGTTTGCTCTATGGAGTCTTTTGAACGTGTCGACCAACTGTTCCATCCTGCTACGCATGGACAATGTTTCAGCGGTCCGTTATATCAACCACCTCGGGGGCACGAGGTCAGCAATACTTGCGGAATTAGCGAAGGACTTCTGGCAGTTCTGCCTGGATCGCAACATATCAGTGCAAGCGGAATATATCCCGGGGATGAGCAATTTAGCAGCAGACTGGAACTCCAGACATCTATGAGATGCCAGCGACTGGCGGCTGAACCCGGCCACCTTCAGCCATTTGCAATCACTGTGGGGACCATTGGACATCGACCTGTTCGCCTCACGACTAAACACACAATTACCGAGGTTTTTCAGTTGGAGGCCGGATCCGGAGGCTCTTGCGACGGACGCTTTACAACAACAGTGGCCGAACGCCAGACATTACGCTTTTCCCCCCTTTTCTCTCATCGCACGGACCTTGCTGCACCTCAGACGACACCGAACCTCCCTAATCCTCGTATCTCCCTTCTGGATGTCTCAACTCTGGTTCCCTACACTCCTGGAACTGTCCATAGATCTTCCGAGGTTACTACCGGTACACGACAAGATTGTCCTGGATCCCTATGGCAATCCACATCCCCTCATACTGCAGGGACATCTCAAGCTTTTGGCATGGCTCCTCTCAGGGGACTCTATGACATCCCAAATGTTCCACAAACAACTCTGGACCTACTGGCAGAAGCTTGGGCCCCAGGTACAAGGAAATCATATTTACATGCCTGGAACGCATGGCATAGTTGGTGCGTGGAACAACACGTGGATCCCATATCTGCAACTGTGAGTCAAGTCTTGGGTTTCCTCACTTCCCTTTTCAACCACGGCCTGGCGTATCGTACATTTAATCTATATATATCTCAGCAGGCCAAATAGATTGGAATGGAATTCAAACAGGGAAACATCCGATGGTATGTCGACTCCTATGTGGCATCAAATTTGCACGACCACCACGGCCTAGGTATTCAGAGTTATGGGATGTGAGCCTCGTTCTCCAACTTTTTGAAAATTGGCCAAGGAACGAAGACCTGTCGAACAAGCAACTCACCGCAAAACTGGTTATGTTGTTTTGTCTCATCTCATGTAAGCGGGTCTCAGATGTACGAGCATTGGACATTCAGGCACGCTCATATACACCGGAAGGGGTGGCCTTTGATATATCGAGACGTACGAAAACGTCCATCACAAAGGTTTTTTACCCAGCTTTTCCACATAACAGTAACTTATGCCCAGTAGCCTGTCTCAAGGAGTATGAAACAAGGACGGCGGCAGTCTGAGACCCTCAATATGCGGACCTATTCCTGGCTATTTGACAACCACATCGTCCGGTTTCTACAGTCACCAAATCTCGCTGGGTCAAATGGATCATGACGTCGGCAGGCATTAATACTTCCACATACGGAGCACATTCAGTGAGGGGTGCGATGGCATCAAAAACTTTTTCCTTAGGCTGTAAATTGGAAGATCTCCTCCGAGCAGCCGATTGGTCGAGAGAATCTACATTCCGGGAATTTTATTTCCACCCGCTTTCCCATTTTTCCACGTCAGTGATCACACAGCTTTGAACTAGCATAATAAGAGCCTCCGTGTCCTTTAATAAAATTACCAGATTTTACTAATTTCATGACGTAAAGTCATGATTTTATAAAGGACACGGAGGGGAGTATTATCCCACCCAATAGAGGTAAGTTGCCCTCCTCTGGGAATGTAATGTATGTTATGGGACTTGAGCCGTGTGATAATGTGTTTTTTTATTTCCATTTGATTAAATAACATGAGAATGATCTAGTGTTTAGATAGTGTTGGAATATGAACTTGGAAAAATATTATCCAAGAACATATTTTACCGTCTCGTTTCTCTGTCTTGCAGCTTCCTAATTGGAGTGCCATAATGGTCCAGGCATGCCCGGATGTGTTCGGATGGAGGATGACCAGTTTTTTTCTTCTGGGTTTTTTTTCCGACGTCATCTTCTACTGGACTCACTGTTCTCTATACAGCTACTGGTTATTTCATTGCGAGCTATTGGAGTGTCCATCGGCAACACCAAAAGAAAGAGGAGTGGATTAGGGTCACATGGGACTTTATTGTAATAGGGACACTCTGATTGGTTCATATGTGGTACTTGGTTAACCCTTTTGGAGTTATGATGTAGTGTTATTGAATTTTTTTCTTTTTTCATTGAATATACATACAATATTTTCTTTTGCTGCTGAGGAATAAAAGAAAGAGGAAAACATAATACTCCCCTCCGTGTCCTTTATAAAATCATGACTTTACGTTATGAAATTAGTAAAATCTGGTAATTTCCATTTCCAAGCAAGTTTTTTTTATTTATTTTTTTGGATGATGAATCTTCCATATTAAGACACGTTGATGTATGTGCGAGATAGAGATTAAACTGAACACCATACCTGGGAACTTGCTAAAATAAATGATCCCGAGAGCATTTAATAGTAACAAACAAAAAGTGGGTTACACTTGTGTTCCGGTTGGCCCTGATGATGTCCCCGCAGGATACAATTTACATTCAACTCAAAATTAGCAGACCGTGCCAAATCAACGTATATTCTAATTAATGTGAATGGCATAAAGTGAGATATAACAGTTAGAAGACCACAAGCAGTTCATATCACACCAGCCCACCCCCCCCCCGGTTCTATCACAGAGTGAGGCAGCAGGATGACGTCATCGCGCCGCCTCCTCTCTCCCAGCCGCGCCCATTGATGACGTTGCAGGCCGCCCTCATAACAGGAAGTGCAGCTGTCAACACCGCCATGGGGCTGGCCCAGTGCTAGACAGCCCGCCTCTAGCCGGCCCCGGGAACTCTCCGCCAGGGGCTCAGCCCGCCTCCAGCCGGCCCCGGGAACTCTCCGCCAGGGGCTCAGGTAAGCTGGCCGGCGCTGGGCATGCTGGGGGCTCTCTGGCTGCCAGGTGGGCTGGCTGAGGGTGATGGGATTCTCTCCCAGTGTGTCAGCCCTGGCTCCCAGTGCAGGCAGAGCTCAGGGAGAGAGAGGGAGAGGGAGGGACAGGATCACCTCCACCCCCCGATATGTGCTGTGTAATGTGCAGACACTCAGTGTGTATCAGGGCTGCCAGCTGCTCAGCTCACCTCCTGCACCCACTGATTTATTGTGCAGGTTTCTCACCATTTTATTGCACAGCTCCCTTGCAGTGTTTCTCTATGTATCTATCTATCTATGTATGTATGTATTCTGCCAAGCTCTTCTAATTTAGTTTTTTATCTTTTCAATAGGGAATTGAGAATGGACCTTCGACAATGCTAGGGGTACAATGGGAAGCGCCTCGCTTCGATGTTTCTGCTACGGCTGCCTTTTCACATCCGTGACCTGGACGCTCCTGCTCTTTATTTATTTCAACTTTAGCGAAGAAAGCCAAGGTGTCAGACATGTGCCCGTCAAGGGGCTTGAACCGTACAAGCCATTCCCTAAAAAGATCTATCCCCGCTTCTCCCGAGAGTCATTGATGCAAGTAGAGGGTGATCGAAAAATCCATGCAGGGGATCAGAAGAAAAATAACTTTGTTGAAACAGAGCAGAATAATGCAGACCTCGCACCGGAAATGGGTAAGATGACGCATTAAATTCTCATGTCTTATGGCACAAATTTCTTTTTTTTTTTTTTTAATTACCGTTTTTAGGTGCATATATAACAAAGATGGTTCTTTTTGTGTTTTGATTTTAACTAGTCTTTTAAATGACTGAATTGCTGCAAAATAAACGTAGCATGTTAAAAATCATAGCTGAAGCAAGGTTCTGTAGTAAACTGTAATTTGCTGAGCTCAGAAGGTATAATTGCACTTTTCATGCCAAAATGTAAGAGAACAAAATGTCCTAACTCTTCAGTGTTGGTTTATTTTTATTTATTTTTTGCAATTTCCTCTTCTCCAGAAACTCCAATTTAATAAATAACCATGATTATGCTCTTGTAGCTTCTCAATTTGCTGCAATTTTCAAGGGTCAATCATTAGAATTATCATCACAGGCTTGTGATTAGCATTCTAATGCGCTTAACACAAGCTGTAGGTAATACCATGTCTGACACTTCCGGAGAGAATTGGCAAGACACGCGTTCAGGTTGATCTACAAGTACCTTGCCTTGTGTGTCCCAGTAGTCGGGCAGCAAGAGACACTATATATTTTCTTCTCCATATATTTATCTCGTTTTTTTTTTGGAACCCCCTCGTTCCCCTTCTTTTTTTATTCTTCTATATATTCCCACATCCTTGGATATTGTCTTAGAAATCTATCTCATTGGATTTATTCAATACATATTGCTATATGAATACTTTTGGAAATACTGACATAAGACATCCACTATCACATGAACATTGTATGTATATTAATAAAGGCTTAAGCTCTACAGTGATCCTACAGACTACGATGTGTAAATACTTTGACAGCCATAGTTCAGACGTTTATATAATTGTTTATTTTATGTAGCATGGTTCTTATGCTGGCTCATATTTGGGAAATACAGATTCTTTTGTACCTTTCCAACCTCCCTTTTTTATGATTTTACATTTGTTCATTGATATTCAGACTTCTTGCTTTGTGTGTATAATATACAGAGGCCTTGTTTAAGGATGCTGCTCATCCTTTAGGGGGTTAACTTGGGTTTTGCATATAAGCTGCCCTATACATAGGTTTATTACATTATAAATGAGGGCATACTGCAAATCCTGTGATGGTAAAGGCTATACATTGACTAAATATACAATATTATAGAGGGGAAGCACATATGGGAGGTCTAACATAAACAATTTAATGGAATGCCATACTCAAAGCACATGTTGCACAAACAATTTAACAGCAAAGCAATGGGTATCTCTTTTTAATGTTAGATTCCATATGGAATGAAAAGGAATTAACAGATTGAATCCTATCCCTCTCTTGTGTCTGACTGCTCAGTGCTATAGTGAAAGCTCAAATTACAGCCTGCACCTGGTGTGTATGTGCCTCTGATGGAACTCCGTATTCCATGCCAGATTCCATCTGAAATCACAAAGACAGGTGTAATGTTTCATAATCTTTCACTGTCATCACTTTGGAGTAGCTTGGATGTTTGACCTTTTGTATCACTTTATCAGCATTTATTCCTAGTGGACTCTGGGGTCCAATAGACAATGGAACCAAATACGGAACTAGAACACGGTTTATGCTCACTAGACATTCTGTGTTAGATGGCTGTAACATTTAACCCCTATTTTTATTTCTTTATTTTATCCTTTTACAAGTTCACCAAGATTGAGGTCTGGATATCGGACCAGCCAGGTTATTAGAGAGGACATTATCTGGGTGAAGAATAAATAACTGCACAACTGGTTCTAATGTAGGATTTTCACATCCTCTTATCCTGTGCTCTTACCAGTAGTTTTTTTTTAAAAGATTACTCAAACCTTGACTACTTCAATGTCTTAAATTGGTAAGGGTACCAGGACCTGGTATGTGCAGCGTTTCAACGTGAGGTACTGCACACGTTGAGATATCTAATGTTGCAACTGGAGGTTTGATTAGCCCAGAGCGAGTGTTTTGCTTGTAAGACTTGCACAGAGGTTCATTCATTGGTTTGGAGTGTGTGTGAACTGCCATTGTTTAAGGCTCTGCACCCGGAGGGACCCAGGTAAATAGCAGACTGTTGTAAGCCATTTTGTTTCCTTACTGGGGAACAGTGCCAGGTGCTCTTTTCTTTATAGCCAGCTGGCTGTAGTAGTTATGGCTGGTATCACCAACTCTATAAAATTAAAATATTTGTTCTGTTTTCTTAAAGTCAGTCTTGGTCTACTTGGTATTTAATAAATCTTGCCAATATCTGTAGAATCATTTCTCCATCTGCTAGTCACTGTCTTTTTACGATTGACCTTCCTTTCTTAAAATAATTAGAGTGTCTTAATCATCTACTCTAATTTTATTTCAGGCATGATATTCAATGAACAGGACCAGGAAGTGCGTGACATTGGCTACCAGAAGCATGCCTTTAACATGCTAATTAGCAATCGTCTTGGATACCACAGAGATATACCGGACACACGAGATCCAAAGTAAGCCACTCTTTCTGAAACGGCCTTATGATTGTAAGGCCATGGGAACATATTTAAAGGCCAAGTTATTTTAAATGTGCACCTGCTTTCTAGAGAGCTGTGTAACTCTAACTGCTTTGAATATGACAATTGTCACATTAGAGCTTCTGTTTCCAGTAACTGCATGAGTCTTCCTGACCTACAATTTTTCTGGTCACACCATGGTGTGTGATAGGACGTTCATAACATATACAGCCTGATTTCCTAAACTCTGGGGCATTTGAGCACATGGGGTATATATTTTCTTTTCTTGTGTCAAGAGTTATAAAGTGACATTTTAGAAGGCAGGGTCTAAAAAAAAGCAGATACATGCTGAATCTACTGTACCTGCGGCATCATTTTATGATTTTAATAAAAGGAGCAACAATTGGTTTTTAATTTCATGTTCATGGTATTTGCTGGAGACTGAGACTAGGGTACCTTGTGAGACATGGCGACCTTCAGTTAATATATCTGGAAAATCTGTTATTTGACTTGTGGGGGTGCGGGGATGAGAAACCCTGAACTTCAGTGTTGCTTTCACTCTTGTAAACCATGATGTTATTGAATAGATCATAGGAAGTTAACTGTTATATTTGTTCACCGTTTACTTTAGTGATTCATAATGTATAACACATCTTACTCTCATTACTAATTCCAAAAACTCAGGAAACCTATAATAAACATGCTTCCAGCTTTCTGACATGACTTTATTGTAAAAACATTTATAGATGTAATATTTACTTTTAAAACCAAACTGTTGCAGTGGATGAAGGATATAATGGGTATTCTGTGTTAATTCTGATATAGCACGTTCTACATGAGGTTCTGTGTAATAAGCCACAGAGATAGTTAAGTAGTGCGCCAACTGCGTTATTTTTATCTATTTCATACCCTGCACTAATAAAAGTTAAAGGAACAATTTAAGCACCAAATCCTTTACCATACACTCTACTGGTTATATGAGTGCCCTCCATTGTAGGTCGTACAGTTTGCCTTCAAACCTGCTGACTTTACCTTCATACAGGAATCCAGAAGTTCCTAATTGTGAGCTTCCGTTGGCTCTCTAGAGCGAAGCAGGGCAGTGCAGGTCTAGTTCACTGTCTGAAAACGTCAGCTGATTGCTCTCAGCAACTGAGTTAAACCCTGCATCGAATGATAAACAGTGTAAGTAGTTGTGCAGGCGCTTCAAAGAATAGAATAACCAAAATGGTGTGTGTAAATGGTAAACCGATAAGAACTCAACATTTTTCAAAAATTGTTTGCATCCTTACAATGGGGGAGGGGGCTACTGGGCAGTAAAGTATGATGTAGTGGTTATGGTGCTTAAAGTATTCCTTTAATTCTTTCCTAACTTTGCTGATAAAGGAAAGGGAGCTGCAGGAAAAGGGTCACCGGCTCATTTAAAGGAGCAAAACCTAACGAGTTGTTTGTCAGGAATATCCCTTTTCTTACACAATGTACAATCATTGAACACTCACCAAGCTGGATGGAAAAAACAAACAAACCACATTTAAATCCATGCCGTGCTTTCTGTTGATTACTGCAATATAATTCTTGCCATTGTTCCTAGGTATATGTAGCAATATGTCCTGTTCTATATTTGGCAGTATGCATTACACTGGGAATAACTTGATAAATAGCTTGATGACCTGGAAAAATTATTTCGACTTGACTGTTTTGTGACTAAAATATTCAATTTTGTTGTCCGTTATCCACAATCACCAGTCTAATTAATCACCCAATTATGTCTGTCATTTCACGTATAGCTCTAAAAAAAACCTGAAGTTGGCAAAACAAATCTGTTGGTAACGTTAAGTAGACCTCCTTGCGAGTCCTGATTTTTCATTTACAGCGATCAGCAATTATAGACTCGTCGGAATGCACAGTCTAATGAAAACAAGAGATCTCACAAAGTTCAATAGGATTCCTCAGGGGCACTTAAAGGGTAACCATCCTCTCTCTGGAAATTATACTTTGAACCTGACCTATAACTTTTTTTTTCATTCTTATTTAATGTATTTTTCAGTTTTCTTCTAAATTTATATTCCATGCAAATTACGGAACAATCCAGTTCAGTCCAGGCACACATTGGAAACAATGAGAAGAGACGTTGTTTCATTTCTCCCCTTCTGTCTGCTTTCTATGACTGCTAGGTGTAAAGGACAGCGCTTATAACTGATTGAAAGGGAGCTAAAATGGAGGCGCCCGGTTGCAGAATAAAGAGTGTGATTTTCTACCTCTGTTTTTTTTTTTTTTTTTGTTTTCTCTTACTTAAACATGTATTCGAGGAGTATCAGGGATATGTAGCATAGCAAGTGTTTGTGTATAGATTACACATGGTGAATATCATTTATCCAAATGAGTAGACTCTCTTCTTTCCTGACTGGCTTATGACACCTCCAATTTTTTATTTTATTTTTTTGGGGGCATTTTTATATATTTGCTAAAACACTTGATATTAACGTGTTCGCATTTCAGAGAACGAACAAAAGCTTAGAGAAACTCAATAGCTTACCCTTCGGTAAGCCATCACTGACCTATACCATTGCACATCACACTGATCTCACCCATAAGGGCAGTCTAGAACGGACATACAGCAACCTTGGACAATCGTTTCAGTATTGTGAGCCTCGTCAGCGAGGTGTAGCTAATACCCCTCTGGACTGCCCTTATGGGTGGATCAGGCTGATATACGAATGGTATAGGTTCTCTTTTGTAATGGAACAAATGAGACCTGAGCAGGGTCTATCCGAAGGGCAAGTTACTGAATTTCTATAAGCTTTTTCCTCTTCTCACATTTCCTATTTTGTTGCAGATAAGAATAGTTGGAATTAAAAAGTTTGTTTTATATAACTTCATTTCAAATGTAATTTGTTTGAGTTAGCTAAATATTATTTATTTGTAATGGGTATGATTCACTCTGATTCAATAAACTCAGCTATTTTTCACTTGGTTTTGGAAGTTTTTGTCACGTAGGTGAACAGAGCTTATTGGTGATTCCTGGATATTCTGAGGGCATCCTGCCGGCTGTGTGTTTAAGATCAATTCACACAGTGTGTATGCTCTCTATAAACGGATACTTGTTAACCCTTCATGCCCTATACATTAATTGTATTTGCAGATTAAAGGACCACTTCATCTTTATGTGATCCTCATTTTAACATTTTCACAAAAGGGTTGAAACAGCAATTTTGAAATGAAGGGTTATATTCACCTAAATACAAGTACTTGTATTCGATCAGATGGTCTCCGAGACCATTTAATTAGCCGTGCATGCACACTAGCCTCATGTTTAATGATGGGTTGATAGCCACAATGTAGATAAGGTACCGGTAAGTAAAACTTCCATTTTAAGCCCTCACAGCATGGGTGCTGCATTGGGAAAACAAAGTGTTTTGCTTTAAATAAATACTGTCATGTTATGCATGACACATCCTGATAACTGCTGACTAGCACAAGATTTCCAGGAAGATCCCATTTATTGACTAATGCCTTATTTACCCCCAAATCCTGGAATCTTGTGTGATCAGCTGCTCATTCTTGTGATGTGTGATTCTAAGATTCACTTGGGTTCCTCTAAAGAAATACCCACTCAATCATCTGTGTCTCAACCAAAAAAAGCGGTCGCCTCTCAATGAGTTCATTGTGGCTTGGAAACTGCCGCAGGTTAAAACTGTAACAGTTAAAAAGTGGTGTGTGTGTGTGTGTGTGTGTGTGTGTGTGTGTGTGTGTGTGTGTGTGTGTGTGTGTGTGTGTGTGTGTGTGTGTGTGTGTGTATTTGCTTGGCCAAGAAGAAACCTGTGGTTCCAGTATGTTTTGCCATTAAAGTCAATGTTGCTTCATCTTCCTTAAGGTAATTACTAAACAGTTGGAGTTTTGCTCTAAACTTTGCAATTTGTTGGTGACTTCCCACCATTTCCTGGTTTACTGAATAGCTCTTAATGACTTTTCATGGCTTACAACAAAATGATTAATAATGGAAATTTTTATATATAAATTAGTTTTTTACATAGAGCTTTGCTGTTATGCATTTAATCTTACTGTTTTGTTTTTTTCCTCTTTTCTCTATTGATAGATGTGCGACAAAATCCTACCCCGCTGATCTGCCCCTCGCAAGCATTGTGATTTGTTTCTATAATGAAGCCTTTTCGGCTTTGCTACGAACTGTTCACAGCGTGTTAGATCGAACACCAGCTAATCTACTACAAGAGATCATTCTTGTAGATGATCATAGTGAACTAGGTGAGGTTGTGTTTTTATTTATTTTTTTTAATTTTTTTTTAATTTATTTTTTTTTCGGTTTAGATATTGTAGTCTGCTAAGGTTAACGGATTGTCTATATGTGACCTATATTATCTCACTGTAATGTATGCAAACCAAACAAAGATCGGTAACATAAGATGTTCCAGTCTGAGGGTTTCTAATGATGGGGAAAGCTAGTGGTTTCAAGGCCGATATGGCAGATCTTGCCCAGAAGTGTAGATCTTCCTGTATAATCACCTAGTGTTAGTGAATACTCTTATTTGTTACACTTTCAGATGACTTGAAGGATTTAGAGGACTATATGTCAGAAAATCTTCCGAAGAAGGTGAAATTGGTGAGGAACAAATACAGAGAAGGTTTGATTCGGGGCAGGATGGTTGGAGCTTCTCATGCAACAGGTAACTGTATTGTTAGAAAACCTATTTTCATGTGTAGTACACCGCTGTATTAACATTGTTAATGGATCTCACACCTTGAAGAATCCACAAATATTTACAATGAACACGTGTCCCGCATCCCTTTTTAGTATGATCCATTTATCTGGCCTATAGCTTATGTTTATTTGCTTCTTAGTTGAAGTAATTGATACTGTCATGTAAAAAACTGGATAATTACACAGTGCTCAAATAGGAAGTTAAGATACTTAAGTTAGGGTATACAGATACTGCAGAATTTTTAAAAATTCTATATATTCTCATTCGGCAAAATTATATATTAAATACAAATGCATGACACGGGAATCGTGAATATGTATTTCAAACAATGGACTCCATTTTAATTTTGGAGAAACGTCTAAAATTATTTAAAACATAAAAAAATCTACATATTAAGGCATTTTTCAAAATATTGAAGCATTTGAAAAGGTTATTTAAAAATTAAACTGAGGCCAATAGTTTATGTGAAATGATTGAAACATTTTTACATAGGTATGCCTATTAATAAAGTGTAATTATTTATGTAAAGTATAACTTAAAAATAAATTACCCTATAAAATGCACTAACGGTTTATCTTACAAATGATAAGGGGAGGAAGTGGAGCTTTTGCAAGATAAATACATTTTAACTGTATTTTCAGTGAACAGTTTGAGCTAATGAATCACATACTGCTAATTAAACTACACTCTAACTCCGTGTCAGATTAAAATGTATAACATATCAGTGTTCGGGTCATGTAGCAAGGGCATCTAAAGTTAGATTTTTATGTATAGTGTTTTGAACTGAATACCATTATGTAGCTTTATTCTATATATTGAATTGGGAAATCTATCATATCTTAGATCCCGAATGGTTTCTCGTATTGCACTGTATTTCACCTCCTTTTCCTGAGCCTGTGTTGTCCTTCCAGGTGATGTCCTTGTGTTTCTGGACAGTCACTGTGAAGTGAACGAAATGTGGCTGCAGCCCCTTCTTGCACCTATTAAGGAGAACCAGAAGACAGTGGTGTGTCCGGTTATTGACATAATCAGCGCAGACACCTTGATTTACAGCTCGTCGCCTGTTGTACGTGGGGGTTTTAACTGGGGTCTGCACTTTAAATGGGACCCAGTTCCACTATCAGAGTTGGGAGGCCCGGAAGGATTCACTGCTCCGTTTAGGTATGTGACGTAACAAGCTATAAACATCGTTTGCATAGGGGAGGGCTACAGTCCATTATTGGGTTAGTTTTGGATTAAACTGCCATTTGTAACGTTAGTTTATTTTAAAATCTTTTTTCGTATGAATTGCAGTTACCTGTGTTCACAGTGCTCTGTATCACACATTTTAATCTAGACATTTTGTGCCAGATTTTCAGTAGCCAAAAGTGGGATCACTTGACAGCTATGTCTAAAATAAAATTGAATATATGCAGAATAAGATGGCATGCGCAAGATTAATGGACATAAACATGGTACTACTATGTAACCGCTCCTTTAACTCCGCAATAACTTGGTAGAAATAGTAGGCTTGGCAAACAGCAAAGTCATTTTAAGGATTCCTTGGATTACTGCCAAAAGTAAAAGAAAGAGGCTTTCTTACTGCCACTGCATTTATAAAGTCACCAGCCAATCACTGTGAATATGTTTTTAAAATATTTAACAAGGTTTAAGGATGGCTGAGCGTCATGGGAAGTGTAATTCAGAAACCTCACTGCTCCAGGTTAAACTGCCTCTGTTAATGTTAAAACATATACCTGACTCTAGAGCCAAAAGGGTTACTTTAGTTTACACAACTCCACAAAAAGCTGCTGGAACATTGACCTAGAGATCAGCCCATCAAGCAGGGCACTAAAATAAAGTCCTCTCAGTTGTGTGAAAACTATTCTTCCATCAACAAATTTTAATTTTCTGTGTTTCCTAAGGCGCAGATGTCAAATTACAGTAAAAGAACCTGAAATGGCTTTAACAGGTTCAGTTCTTCTAAATCCTACATTTTCAATGTTTCTGTTTATGAATCATTAACCACTTTTTTTTTTTTTTTTTAATTTATTTATTAATTTGTGTTTTCTTTTTGTCTTCTCTCTGTTCCCTTGGCAAATCTCCTCCACATTTTCACTGTTTGTTACTACTCCCGTGCAATGCCAGAACACAGCTGGATTGTGATTCCAGTTACTAAACCTTTAATATAGATATTTGAAAGAGAATGACGCATGATAAAATTATCAACATATGTTAAAGTGTTATTGCCAGAAAACAGACCGTTCACCTTTAAGGTGCTCTTTAACTTCAATTTCTTAAACTCCCTAACTTCTGGCTACTCAATGGAAAGGGAATATTATGTATGTCCCAAGGAAGGAATAGTGTTTTAAGTCTATTAGCTGGATAGAAGTTTGGAAAATGCTTGGAGGATTTGCTGGCAGAATTACTGAAGCCATATAAACTCACTGTTACTATTTGGGAATCATTTTAACATTCCAAAATAGGGCCTTGCTTTTTTTTTTAAATGCTTTTTGCTACAAAGGAGTAAGTTCTTTTTGATCCTAGTTTAGAAATAGCTTAACTAACGTCAGTTATACTTACCATAACGACATGAACAGGAGCACTCTGATTGAGAGATCATAGAAACATAGAATGTGACGGCAGATAAGAACCATTTGGCCCATCTAGTCTGCCCAATTTTCTAAATACTTTCATTAGTCCCTAGCCTTATCTTATAGTTAGGATAGCTTTATGCCTATCCCACGCATGCTTAAACTCCTTTACTGTGTTAACCTCTACCACTTCAGCTGGAAGGCTATTCCATGCATCCACTACCCTCTCAGTAAAGTAATACTTCCTGATATTATTTTTAAACCTGTGTCCCTCTAATTTAAGACTATGTCCTCTTGTTGTGGTAGTTTTTCTTCTTTTAAATATAGTCTCCTCCTTTACTGTGTTGATTCCCTTTATGCATTTAAATGTTTCTATCATATCCCCCCTGTCTCGCCTTTCCTCCAAGTTATACATGTTAAGATCCTTTAACCTTTCCTGGTAAGTTTTATCCCGCAATCCATGAACCAGTTTAGTAGCCCTTCTCTGAACCCTCTCTAAGGTATCAATATCCTTCTGAAGATACGGTCTCCAGTACTGTGTACAATACTCCAAGTGAGGTCTCACCAGTGTTCTGTACAATGGCATGAGCACTTCCCTCTTTCTACTGCTAATACCTCTCTATACAACCAAGCATTCTGCTAGCATTTCCTGCTGCTCTGTTACATTGTTTGCCTACCTTTAAGTCATCAGAAATAATCACCCCTAAATCCCTTTCCTCATATGTTGAGGTTAGGACTCTATCAAATATTCTGTACTCTGCCCTTGGGTTTTTACGTCCAAGATGCATTATCTTGCACTTATCCACATTAAATGTCAGTTGCCACAATTCTGACCATTTTCTAGTTTACCTAAATCATTTGTCATTTGGCTTATCCCTCCTGGAACATCAACCCTGTTACATATCTTAGTATCATCAGCAAAAAGACATACCTTACCATCAAGACCTTCTGCAATATCACTAATAAAAATATTAAAGAGAATGGGTCCAAGTACAGATCCCTGAGGTACCCCACTGGTGACAAGTCCAAGCTTCAAATATATTCCATTAACTACAACCCTCTGTTGCCTGTCACTCAGCCACTGCCTTACCCATTCAACAATATTGAATCCAAACTTAAAGATTTCAGTTTATTGATAAGCCTTCTATGTGCAACAGTGTCAAAAGCCTTACTGAAATCTAGGTAAGCAATGTCTACTGCACCACCCTGATCTATAATTTTAGTTACCCAATCAAAAAAATCAATAAGATTTGTTTGGCATGATCTCCCTGAAGTAAACCCATGTTGTCTCCGATCTTGAAATCCATGTGTTTTTAGATGTTCAACAATCCTATCCTTTAACATGGTTTCCATCACTTTCCCCACTACTGAAGTAAGGCTTACTGGCCTAATCATTGCTAGGATTCTCAGAGCTGGAGTGGCATTTACGTCTGTCCTCAAATATCCGTTCTCTGCCCGACATAGAACTAGGCTTGCCCTTTTTGCCCCAGTCAGCTTGTATTGGAGGCTCAGACACCCTCACACCCCTGCCAGGTGATGTTGTGGGCTTTACATTTATTTCCACCATTTGGCAGTGAGTGGGCTTCACTAATGTGTGAATTGACAGGAATTCAAATCGCTTTTTATATTGTCAGCCAAACTAGAAGAATAGCTGACTTGCCCATTTCCCCCCCTTCGCCTCCCACATTTGGCCATTGTGGCCTAAGATGTCGAATTTACATTTATATAACTTAATATAGGCAGAGGTTTGGGAGCCTGAATAGCAAATTAGTTCTCATATTTATATCTTTTTAGACTCTCTCCCTTTCCTCTTTACTCCTCTGTTTCCAAACCATTTGGCCAAATAGGACAATAAGCCCGTTTGTTTTTCCTCTGAACTGGAACAAATGGATGTGTCTGCTGGTGCCAAGTCCTTTGTAAAGAGGACAGTAGTAAATCAAACTAGTCTCTGATCAAATAGCATCGATAGGGCACGGCTGTAATAAGAAAGGGAGATAGGGCAGTCTTCCTTTTTTAGGGGCCGTAATATTGCCCTCTAGTGCTGCAAATATGCGTTTCATTTCCTTCGTAATATACTTACCAGTAGGTTCTTGTATTTTTACTGGAGTAAAATTCCTCATTTTATTGCTTGTGAGTTTCTGTAAAGTTGCCTCAAGCAGTGGCTGGGCCAATTGCCCCATCAGACATGAAGTCTAATGCCAAGAATTGGTTATTCTATCTGTTTCACAAATTGAAATGTGCTGGTGTAAATGAAGATCTGAGCTATATAAAAATAATAAAATCCCCTAGACTCGCAAGGTAACGTTTGTAGCATTGGGTCTATTAGAACAATGTGTGATCAAACTTTCATTTTATTCTTTCTTTAACCTTCTTTCCTTCGCAGGAATAAGACTCAGAAAGCTACTCTTTTTATTTTAGGTCTCCAACTATGGCCGGGGGTCTCTTTGCAATGGACCGAGAATATTTTAATACTCTGGGGCAGTATGACAGCGGAATGGACATCTGGGGAGGAGAAAATCTAGAAATTTCCTTTCGGGTAAATGAGTTTATTTTGTTTTTCTAAAAACCCCAGAGTTCATCAAATATAATGGATGGCATTTACACTGTCTTCCTTGTTTTCTGGTTGTGGAGTTTTTATTTTTTTTATTTATTTTATATTTATTTGAAATCTTTTTATCAACAGGCATACAGAAATATATATTTTTTTTAATAGTAGCTATGACATGTGTCCATATTATACAGTCTAGTGGATATTAGCTTATACATTGTGTTATGAATTTATGAAGATAAAAATGAATGTGTTCTCCTTGTGGTCTCTTTCATCATGTATAAAGATGCATTGAAGTATTGCCAATTAGTTCATTCATGAGGTCTGGGAATCCTTGTATTGGCTACTGCTGCCTGTATCTTTCTTTCTTCTATTTTTTTAATTACTGATGTAGCCAGGGGAATAAAAAAATGTATCCCAAATTAATCAGACTAAGAATGCTCCAATTAAAGGACCACTCTAGGCACTCAGACCACTTCAGCTTAATGAAGTGGTCTGGGTGCCAGGTCCTTCTAGGGTTAACCCATTTTTTTTATAAACATAGCAGTTTCAGAGAAACTGCTATGTTTATCAATGGGTTAAGCCTTCCCCCTAATCCTCTAGTGGATGTCTCATTGACAGCCACTAGAGGCGCTTGCGTGCTTCTCACTGTGATTTTCACAGTGAGAGCACACAAGCGTCCATAGGAAAGCATTGTAAATGCTTTCCTATGCGACGGGCTGAATGCGCGCGCAGCTCTTGCCGCGCGTGCGCATTCAGCCCAGGAGGAGGAACGGATGAGGATCGGAGGAGGAGAGCTCTCCGCCCAGCGCTGGAAAAAAGTAAGTTTTAACCCCTTTCCCCCTTCCAGAGCCGGGCGGGGGCACCCTCAGGGCACTATAGTGCCAGGAAAACGAATATGTTTTCCTGGCACTATATAGTGGTTCTTTAAGCAGGTTTTTACAGCTTGGATATTAAGATTCAGACAGACAGGTTTTTCACCTATCAAGGGAATCATAACTCATTAATATGTCTATTATTTTTCTCTATATAATGAAACCCAGTGCTGAAATTAAATCTTCGGGAAAAAATTATCCAAATAAAAGTTGTGCTATCCACTAAAGTGATTTGATAACTTGCTTTATGCTTTTATTTTTTTTTTTTTTTTGAAGGATGATCAGATGTTTGAGCATTTTATATTTTCTTGGTTTATTTCAGATCTGGATGTGTGGTGGCAGCCTTCTTATAGTACCTTGCTCCAGAGTTGGGCACATTTTCCGAAAGAGACGTCCATATGGTTCACCTGGTGGCCATGACACAATGGCCCACAATTCTTTGCGTTTGGCTCATGTTTGGATGGATGAATATAAGGTTAGTTGGTGGGTGAAGTTCTAATGAATGTTGTAGTCTTTTTTTTTTTTTTTTTTAATTTTATTTTTATCAACACAATCTTGTTACAAGGTTATATGTTTTATCATTAGCATAGAGGACCATTTGCTGTAACCAAATAAAATATCTGCTTGATGTAAGAAATTTGAAAAAGAACAAAAAAAATTAACCCACTCGCATTCACACCTGTAATATGATTTAGCTGATGGGTGCTTTCAGTGTCCCTTTAACTAATTATTAGAAAACATTTAGAATTTAAATCCTGGTCAGTGACTGGAAAATCCACAAATCAGGATAAACTAATGGCAGACCCCAGTCTTTTATGTATCTATTATTTATTTTTAGATGCTAAAAGTAACTATAGACACACTATGACTTTCAGTTGTATATGAATGTCTCTCTGAACAGTTAATTTCGCTATGCTATTACTAGTAAAGAGACACTCTTACCTCCATAATGAAGCTGTTTTGGTGTATAGATTATTCCCCTGCAGTGTTGCTGCTCAATTATCTGCCATTTAAGCGTTTCTTTTTCTGCAGCACTAGCCTCAAGCTTCCTAGCAATGACTCTCACAGCTTATTTGAACTTTAATTACACACTGGAGGCTGCTGCAAGCTTTAGCAGTCTATTAACTGAGCAGGAGATTAAACATTCTAAAGTATTTTATTTTTATTAGCTTCCCTATTTGTACAGTATGTCTACTCTTTCAGGAAGTGTATAGGGTGGCTCTGTGGGTCTCAGCCAGCGGAGGCGTGGCTTTGGCTGCATAAACAGTGATTTAACTCCTAAATGGCAGAGAATTAAGTGGTGAGACTTCAGGGACATGATCTATACACTAAAACAGCTTAATTAAGCTAATGCTATTTTGGTCCTTTGAGTGTCCTTTAAAATGTAACAGAGAGCTGTATACAGTTTGCCTCATGCAGTATATTTAATGCATTTACTTCACTACAACCTTTTTTTCTTTGTCTCCATAACAGGAACAATATTTTGTTTTGAGGCCAGAACTAAGAACCAGAGATTATGGTGATATCAGTGAGCGCTTGGCATTAAGGGACAGGTTGCAATGCAAATCTTTTAAATGGTATTTGGACAATATATACCCAGAGATGCAAGTGTCAGGACCAAATGCTAAAGCCCAGCCACCTGTTTTTGTTAATAGAGGCCCCAAGAGACCAAAAATACTGCAGCGTGGGAGGGTAAGAAATAATTCAACCATGTCAGTATAGCACAGATCTGTTGTTGGTTCACTATCTAAATGTCACACTGCGTTCAAATGTTCCTATTGTAATATAACCTTGAATAAGAATTATTTAACTTTTTATAACAAGAGCGCTGGTTTAATAGAAACTTGATTCTGCATGCAACGCTTTAATGCATTATGTGAGTAACCATTTATCAAGCTGAATAAAAATACATGTGTAGCATTTATAAACAAGGATTGTGTATGTATCAGCTTGAAAATCCGGAACTGCACCACTGGTGGCATAATCTGTCCAGCTATTCCATGTAATGAAGGTTAATAGTGCATTGATATTCCTTTTGGTGCATGACAAGATTGCCACCAACTCTGCAGAGTGGTCGTATCTTTAATCACTTTCATCTGGGTATTCCTGGCCCTCAGGCACCAGATGAAATCACTCCAAAAATGGGTCATCTGTCTCTGCGCATGCTCAGATCCTTTATGCTTCTCTTTCCTGCTGATTTTCATCTCCTGTGCTTGACTAAATGGGAAACTGGGAAACTTCCATAGGGAAGAGAAGAAAGCAAGACTTTTTAAAGAAATTGTTCTCGCACTCCAGTTGGAAGATGTAGTATCATTAGTTAAAGGGACACTATAGTCACTAGAACAACTACAGCTTATTGAACTTGTTCTGGTGAGTTTAATCATTACCTTCAGGCTTTTTGCTGTAAACACTGTCTTTTTCGATTACAGCCTAGTAATAACTCCACTGGTCATTCCTTTAGATTACTACTACTACTACTACTACTACTACTACTACAGGTGCTTCCTGGGGCAGTGCTGCACAGTGTGACTGACATTCATTGTCTCCACCCTCTGCATGCAGACATTGAACTTTCCTCATTTATTCAGTGCATCTCTATGAGGAGATGCTGATTGGCCAGGGCTGTGTTTGACTTTTGCTAACTCTTTCCCTGATCTGCATCCTTGACAGTCTCAGCCAATCCTATGGGAAAGCATTGTGATTGGCTCTGAACAACACTTTTGATGTCAGCCAAGCTGGCATATCACGGGAAGAGACAGCAGCTGCAGACTTGAACAAAAGTAGGACTTTGCTATATTTAGGGGAGCAAGGTGTGGCTAGATGGTGGTTTTAACCCTATAAGGACAGGAATACATGTTTGAGTTCCTGACCCTACAGTGTTCCTTAAATGGGTTTTCGTGATCTCTGACCACACGATTATTACTGTTCTAAAGCATACATTTTATTTCTCACTCTCAATTTTATTGAATTCCCAAGTGCCTGAGATGTTTTCCCTTGACCAGTTCCAAACGGATAGTATAAAGGACATATAGAAAATTGTGTTTGCTGTCTTGGCTTTAATTTGGTTTGGAAACTTTTTCTGGGGAAAATATAAATCCAAACAATTTTGTTATTTTTGTGTTTATCTTGGAGTGTAATATTAATGGTCCGAAGTTAAGATGGTTTTTAACCTGCAGGTTAAAGTACTGGCTAGGGAGTGCACTTTGCTCTACGTGATATATTAAAGTTAATGTTTGCTTCATTGCCTCGAAACCTAGAATACACAAAGATGAGCGTGTATGTCTACTTATATATCTATATCCCAATGCGCTCAGCCACATTGTCCAATTATATTCTCATTTACTACCCGCATTCCTCCCAAAACCGCATTTTGAAGGCAAGGGGTGGCTGTTTTTAGGATCTATTTTGAGTTCCTGAATATGGTCTCAAAGTCATCAATGGTCCTGAGCTCTGCTGTTATGGGTCTTTGTATCTTAAACCTTAACATAAATAAATAAATAAATAAAACTATATTTTCCACCCAGTCTACTTACAGATATAGTGTGCAATTTTTATTGCTGCATCCTTCTTCCTCTCTTCCCAAGCCGGGTAAGTGTTAGCAGAGTAGGCACCTGTAATATGGGGAAAGCAGGTGCCTACTCTGCTAGAACACCAGCATGTACTCGCGGCTCGCTGGGCCGCAAAGATGGTCGTTGTGGGCCGCGAGTTTGACATGCTTGTCATACAGTGTTATTTCAGTTTATGGCAGATGGTTTTTGAACCGATATGCAAGGACTCCTTGTGTACTGACAAACAGATGGCTTTATATGGCTGTGTAATGATCTGCACATATATATATTGTGGATTTTCCTTTTTATATTTTTTTTTTTTTTTATATATATAAATACTTTCAGCAGCATCCCAAATAGTACTTCCGGTTTAGCTTTTATATTCCAAGTCTTTGTAGGCATGTTTTTGAAAAATATAGTTTTCTTCTAAATGCCCTCTGTAATGACACAATTGAAATAAAACATGTCTGATGCCCGAACAGAGGGGGGAAAAAAAAAATCCCAAGAGCTTGCACAAGTTATTCCGTTTTGTACTGGTTAACTTTATTTTCTCATGTATGTTTTGGCTTTTATATGCATAGTGTTTTGGCCTCCTTAAAGGGATACTAGTGTCACCAAAACATACTCTGGCTTAATGACGTAGTTTCACTGTATAGACCATGACCCTGCTGTCTCATTGCTCAGTTCTCTACCATTTAGGAGTTGCATTGCTTTGTTTATACAGCTCTAGTCACACCTCCCTGCATGCGACGTGCACAACCTTCCTAAACACTTTCTGTAAAGTGAGATCTAATGTTTGCACTTACTTTATTGCAAATTCTGTTTAATTTAGAATTTCTAGCCTCCTGCTCTGTTTATAGCTTTCTAGACCCTGCAGGAGCCTCCAGTGTGTAATTACAAGAAACGTGCAGAGCAGGAGATAAAAACATTTTACATTAAGTAACATCTGATTGAAAATAAAACCATTTTGATTTCAGGCAGGCTGTCAGTCACAGCCAGGGGAGGTGTGGCTAGGGCTACATAAACCGAAACAAGTGATTTCACTTCTAAATGGCAATGAATTGAGCAGTGAGTCTTCAGAGGCATGATCTGTACACTAAAACTGCTTCATTAAGATAAGGTTGTTTTGGTGACTATAGTGTCCCTTTAAGTATACCGCCTATTTCAGACACAGATCCGTTACTCTGTGCATCTCTGGTGGGCATTGGCTCTTCTTTTCTGGGCTAGAATCAAGGAAGGCTGGCACAATCTGTGGTGTGTTTTTTTTAAAATTAATTTATTTATTTTTTTGTGTAACTCTCCTGTTTCAGAGAAACTATGTTTATAAAACTGGACCAGGCACCCAGACCACTTTTATCTGTCTCAACACACACACACACACACACACACACACACAAAATACTACTGTTCAGTTAAACGCTTGTCTGTCACTCCAGTTATCAATCTGCAGAGACTCTGCCATCCCTATTAAGCAATTTATTAATCACCTTCAAGGAAAATAAAGAAAACCTTCATTATGTCACTGTATTGCAGGAAATCTCACCGTTGCCCATAGTTGACTAGTTCCATGCTCTGTATTGCATAATTAAGGCATTTTAATTTGCCTTGGTGAAAATCACGAAGTTTTTTTTTTTTTTTTTTCTATTCTGCCTCTGCCTTACAGAGCTTTCCTTTTTCTTTTTCAGCTTATCAACCTGCAGACTAACCGGTGTCTTGTTGCCCAGGGACACCCGAGCCAGAAGGGGGGATTGGTGGTGGCTAATGAATGTGACTTTAATGATTCAGAGCAGGTTAGTTACACCTTTTTATATTATTCTTCAGCATTGAATAATAAGAAATGTGAAATGATCTATTGGTCTGAAAGGCCTGCTTGACATCTCTTAAAAACCCACATTTTTATGCCATTTGTCCTCTTGATGAAAACTTGTTCTTTTAGAATCTTGCTATCTGTATATTGGATCAAAGTGGATGATTATTTAGGTGAAGATCTGTATGGGTCTTGGCTGTTTTAGGAAGGAATTGAAAGCTTGGCCCTTGGTATATCTTTTCTGAATCTTTTCACTAATCCAGCTGGAATTATCTGTAATTCGAAAACTAACCCTCTTCCCCCTTATTATCCATCAGAACCCAAATTACACTCTGATTTAGTTTTATATCATAGTACATTTTGAAGAAAGCAAAATATATTTTGCAATGCCCTTTAAGATCTGGTCTTTTGATGGAGAAGGCATTGCAGATCTTTTAATTAACCTGCTGTACCCGGTAAATATGTGTCTGTATCATCTGTTAGGAACCCACTAAATGTGTCCCAACCTTGGATGTTAAGAACCTCAGCTCAATATTGTTAGATGATGACTTTTACCAGAGATTAACTACGAGTTTGCAAGAAATGTGTAGTGTGTTTTTTGGTATTTATGTGCCCCTCATATTTTGTTCTTCCAGATCTGGACTTACAATGAAGAAAATGAGCTTATTTTAAGTAATCTTCTCTGCTTGGATATGTCCGAGACCCGTTCGTCAGATCCACCACGTCTAATGAAATGTCATGGGTCTGGAGGATCACAACAGTGGGTGTTTGGTGTAAGTGTTTGCATAGCCTACATACATGTAGAATATGTATTAAAGAGGCTCCCAAAAGGCCGCAAGAGAAATAAAATGTACCTATCTACAGCTTTAGATGTCTTTTGCTTATTAGTGACTCCAAGATTATAGTCAAACCATCATTTGGAAAATAAATGTGAGTTTTCGTTTTATGACTAATTTTTGATTGGGATAATTAACCCATGTGTTTGTAACCTTCCTTTCCCAAGCTACTCATCCAGTTTCTAGCTTAAAGATAGCCATTGCAGGTATGCAGTTTTTAACCCCTTAAGGACCAAACTTCTGGAATAAAAGGGAATCTTGACATGTCACACGTCATGTGTCCTTAAGGGGTTAATATACTTTTTGCACCATAACCACTCCAGTAAGCTGTGGCGGTTGCAGCGCGTCAAATGCCATGATATATTTGACAAAATACAAATGAGCAGCTAAATGGTTTGTGAAATCATGAAACCGCTGTTTTAGAAAAGGCTGAAATTGCTATTCTTGCAAATATTCCATGGTTACATGTGATGGTAAATAACATTTCATCAAGACATTGTTGGGACTTGGTCAGTAAGCCAGGAGACGTAACAAGGGAATTATACATTTTAGATCAAAGTAACTGAATGGGAAGTTTGTGGTTTTTTTTTTTTGTTTTTTTTTTTTTTTTTTTTTTTTTTTTTTTTTATTTATTTTAAACTTAGGTGTTTTGGCCTTAAGAGAATTCTCTAAACAGCAAAGACTTTCATTTCAAGTGCTTTTATGTGTGAAGAGTGTGTCGTCCTTATTCCATTTTCCAAAAAGTGCAGATTTTAATAGAAATTGGCAATTTTATTATCCTTGTTATATCCACAGACTGTCAATCAGACATCCAGTCCTATTAGCTTGTGGGTGTTTAGGTCAGTGGACCAGCTCATTAGGTAGCAATTGCCATGAGCACCTGCCTTGCAAAGACTTCTCATTAAGCTGCATTGGGAAGTCTGTGATTGGAAAGACACACACACACACACAGTCTGGGCTGGAGAAAAAGGGGAGGGCTTGTAAAGGCTACAGAAATGATATCTGCAGGTTTTTCAATCTGTCTTTAGATATAAATAAAGCTTAATGTATGCATGTTTTCATTAGAATTATATTTACTAAATTGTTAAAAATAAATACATACCATTGGAATGTTCCTATAGATTCCCCACGGTATCTGGTCTATGGTCAGAGAATTTCCCCCGAACATAGATGCGAGGGATTACCTGCTCTAGTGAGCTATTGTATGTTTGGGGGGAATAACCCCGAACACAGACCTGCTCTCTAGCGTATCCTCACTTACCGACCAATTTCTTTTACGACCAAATCGTATGAATGAAACCCAGTCGGTGAGGACAGCCTGTACTTTAGGTCTGCCCCCATGGTGAACAAAGGGTTAAAAGCCATATTTTGTCTGTCTGCCCCCCTTCCCCCACGATTTCACTCTGATAGAGCAACCTAATGTTTATTAGAGCTTGACCACAGAAAAATAAATCAGTGCTTCCCTAATGAGAATCTGAGGACATGTAAACATCATTTCATGGAATTAAACTCTTACAGTCCATAAAGTGCCACAAGAGTTTGTCTTATCCCTGCAATGTAAAGCTTGCAGTTTCAGAGAATCTACACTGTTAACATTGCAGGGTTAAGGGGACAGGGTCACTGTAGCGGATGGCATTAGGCTGTCCTAAAAAGTGCATTTATGTCTCTGTATTCGGTTGAATTGTAACTTGTAATATGTGAAGTGTATGTCGCATTCGTCTGATTGTTCGGTAAAATCACTCCAGTTCTTATGCGAATTAAACTACAGAACAATCAGACCACCTCAGTAATAAGTGTCTCCAATTACTGTTCGCAACAATGTTGCAAACGGTAATTGGTAGTTCGTGCAGTGCGTCCTTTGTTCTCTGGGTGGCCGCCATTCAGGATACGAACACGTGGCGGCGGCCATTTTAAACTCCCAAACAGCGGTGTTTTGCAGTCGCGTGTCTGGATCCCAAATTGGACACTCGGTTAGGCAAACGCCGCTGAGACCTCCACACTGCCGCCAATTCGTATACAAACTACCAAACGGCTTCTCGTTCGGTAGTTTGAATCCCACGAACAAGGGAAATTACACGAAACCTCCCCAGTTTTCCTAACATAAGTCATTCGTGTGTTACATTCCATTTTTTGTGACCGACCGCAGGGCCAAAACACATGGAGTCCTTTTCTGCTGGTAAACCCAGTGCGGTCGGTCATTTTAGTACTTCCATAAATTTCGCGAACCACTGGTCCGATCTGGGTGATTTTTGGATATGTCTCACCCAGATCAGGGCTACCAGGGGATGTAACATTTAAAGGGGTACCCCTATGTTTAGGGGTACATCCAGAAACTCTGGTAATTTGTGTCCTGCATAAGGGGATTATGTGCCACACTAAGGAGAGGGGATGTGTGGGTGGCAATTAGTGGAGGATTGGCTACTGTACTAATTATTGCAAATCCCTCCCTTGCATGGGAGAATGCTTTATAAGGAGGTTGTGTGCATTAAGTCAGTTCTGCTCCTGATGCTGTGTCGTCCAGTCATTGGGATCTGTATGGGGATATTCGTGGATTACCTTGCTTGCTGGAATTATTACTTCATGGTATTTTTACTACTTGTTCCTGAGCCTCACTGGGGAATACCAGGCCTCCGCTACAGTCACTGCACCCAGACCATTCCAATTAGATGCGGTGGTTTAGATGCCTATAGTGTACATTTAAGATTGCTATTCACTATGATTCCCAGTTAAAGCCCTGCCTCCAAATGATGAAAGATGAAATGGTTACAGTACTTGATGTGCATTATTATTATTATCCTGCAATACTAAAAGCATCAGATGCAGTGCTTTACTATAGGTGTGTATTGCAAACTTATTCATATGGTGTGAACTCTTAGTTTCCCCCTCCTGCTTTAGTGCCAAAAACATGACGTCCTTGTTGGCACATTATCTTTCTACTGCCTGTAATAAGCTCTAAGGCAACTCTTCCTTCCATGTTGATTACACTGTGAAATAGCAACTGCAGTATGAATGATCAGTAGACAGACTGCAGCTGGTTTTATAAGCAGGGTCTAGACAATCTGTTGCCAACAACAAATCCTAGCAGTTCCACCATTTGGCAGAATGCATTCTTGTTTTCATATTTGGTGCTGTATAATTTACTGACCAGATTCCAGCATTCTTTGTACTATTTACTTCCAAGAACGAATTAAAGTATTTCATGTTTGTGTGCCAGCATAGTCCTATTTTTGTTTTACAAGTTGGAATTACGCTTAAACCAAAACAATCTACGCACACAACATTTCCCATTGATTTTGTTTGATGTTCTGCATAGTTGTGTTTTAAATTCTATTTTGAAAAATTTAATATATTTTTTTTTTCTCTTTAAGAAAAACAACCGTCTGTACCAGGTATCTGTTGGACAATGTATGAAACTTGTTGACCCTTTGAGCCACAAGGGCTACGTGTCAATGGCAATCTGCGATGGCTCTGCTTCTCAACAATGGCATCTCAGCTGAGCCTCAGAAATAGTCCGAAGAGGATGCTTTCCGATATAAACTCTTGTTACGTTGGCTTTACTAGCCTGAAGCTGCTATTTTACCGGACAATTTTGTCAGTCTCCTCAGTATTGCGTGTGGCACGTTGTAGAAGGGTGGTGGAGTCCTTCTAACTTTGCTACATTACATAAGCAACTACGCTATAAGTTACTAATGTGCAATTTACTAAAGAATTAGTTCTTGGATGCAAAGTTTTTAAATCCCAGTATGGTACCGAAAGAATTTTAATCCCCAAATGTTTTCTTTTACATTTTTGTTTTCTCTCAATATTATCTATCTTTATTTTACTTGCAATTGAATGTTTTTAAATTTTAATGATCAATCAAAAAGTTTGTAAATTCTGTTGCATATATTTTTTCTAAGTGGTATTTTTGAGGTTTCCACAGACAAATGCTTTTAACCCCCACATACATAATTTTATTGGGAGTTTGTGAGATTCTCTGCTTTCTACAAACTTTCTCCCAGGCATGTGTTTTGTGATCTATTATTTTCTTATTGATATGAAAGAAAATGTTAATTAAATTTCATGAAAATGGATTTAAACAAACTATGCAGATTAGACCTGGCAATCTGACTTCCTTTTTTAGTTTTGGACATGTATGTAATATACACTTTCTGTAGACTGTAAGCTCCATGGGACAGGGCCCACATCATAATTTTTTTTTTTTTTTTTAAATTGTGCATCAAATTCATGTATATTTGGTTTACCCATTGCACAAAGTTGCAGAATACATTGGCAGCTTATAGTTGAATGTAGTAAAGGCCCAGCATAGCGAATTTTAGCACTAATCGCAATTTGAAGATCCGCTTTTATTCTTTGACGTGGCCATCTTGAATATGCATCCCAAATGTCCAACAAGAATGTGGGCTTTAATTTTTAAAGATGGTTTGAGCTTGGCATTCTACTGTACCATGAAGTAAAATTACATGTTGAGTCAGTGTTACTATGCCCTCTATGCACATGGGGAAAAAAAATATTACAATTAATCAATGTAACGTATGATAGTGCAAAGAAAAGTTCTAGAGAAAGACTTTTAATTTTCACATCACACCATTTCACTGAAATTCCATTTTATGTCACCACTTAACTCCATTTACATTTTATTATAAATGCATTAAGTGTTTAGTGTGTCAGTTGCAGGGTGCCGCAAAGCAGAAAAAAAAATCCTCTTGTATGTATTGAAATGGATGTAATAACAAATAATGCATTTATGCTACTCTGAATTAAGGATTAATTCTCTCCTGGTCTAACTACAGAGCGTGATATTGTATACATTTATACACTGCTCAAAAAAAATAAAGGGAACACAAAATTAACACATCCTAGCTCTGAATGAATTAAATATTCTTCTGAAATACTTTATTTACATGAATGTGCTGACAAAATCACACAAAAACTAAAAAATGGAAATCAAAATTTTCAACGCGTGGAGGTCTGGATTTGGAGTCACACTCAAAATTAAAGTTGATTCCACTTTGATGTAATGTCCTTAAAACAAGTCAAAATGAGGCTCAGTAGTGTGTGTGGGGCCTCCACGTGCCTGTATGACCTCCCTACAACACTTGTGCATGCTCCTGATGAGGTGGCGGATGGTCTCCTGAGGGATCTCCTGCCAGACCTGGACTAAAGCATCTGCCAACTCTTGGACAGTCTGTGGTGCAACGTGACATTGGTGGATGGAGCGAGATATGATGTGCTCAATTGGATTCAGGTCTGGGCAACTGGCGGGCCAGTCCATCGCATCAATGCCTTTGTCTTGCAGGAACTGCTGACACACTCCAGCCACATGAGGTCTAGCATTGTCTTGCATTAGTAGGAACCCAGGGCCAACCGCACCAGCATATGGTCTCACAAGGGGTCAGAGGATCTCATCTCGGTACCTAATGGCAGTCAGGCTACCTCTGGCGAGCACATGGAGGGCTGTGCGGCCCTCCAAAGAAATGTCCGCCCACATAATTACTAACCCATTGCCAAACCGGTCATGCTGGAGGATGTTGCAGGCAGCTGAACGTTCTCCACGGCATCTCCAGACTCTGTCACGTGCTCAGTGTGAACCTGCTTTCATCTGTGAAGAGCACAGGGTGCCAGTGGCGAATTTGCCATTCTTGGTGTTCTCTGGCAAATGCCAAACGTCCTGCACGGTGTTGGGCTGTAAGCACAATCCCCACCTGTGGACGTCGACCCCTCATAGTCTGTTTCTGACTGTTTGAGCAGACACATGCACATTTGTGGCCTGCTGGAGGTCATTTTGCAGGGCTCCTCCTATTCCTCCTTGCACAAAGGCAGAGGTAGCGGTCCTGCTGCTGGGTTGTTGCCCACCTATGGCCTCCTCCACGTCTCCTGATGTACTGGCCTGTCTCCTGGTAGCGCCTCCATGCTCTGAACACTACGCTGACAGACACCGCAAACCACCTTGTCACAGCCCGCGTTGATGTGCCATCCTGGATGAGCTGCACTACCTGAGCCACTTGTGTGGGTTGTAGACTCCGTCTCATGCTACCATTAGAGTGAAAGCACCGCCAGCATTCAAAAGTGACCAAAACATCAGCCAGGAAGCACAGGAACTGTGGTCACCACCTGCAGAACCACTCTTTTATTGGGGGTGTCTTGCTAATTGCCTATAATTTCCACCTGTTGTCTATCCCATTTGCACACCAGCATGTGAAATTGTCACTCAGTGTTGCTTCCTAAGTGCACAGTTTAATTTCACAGAAGTGTGATTGACTTGGAGTTACATTGTGTTGTTTGTGTTCCCTTTATTTTTTTTGAGCAGTGTAGTTTAGTTTACTCTAATGTGCCCTAAGAAACTTGCCATTTAAAGATACCACTGCCCAAATACAAAACATGTTTAGTGCAAATAAGTAGTGACGTCCCGAACGGTTCGCCACAGACGGCGAACAAACTTTGACCCTGTACCTCACAGTCAGCAGACACATTCCAGCCAATCAGCAGCAGACCCTCCCTCCCACCTCCTGGACAGCATCCATTGTGAAGCTGCATTCTGTCCAGGAGGTGGGAGGGTCTGCTGCTGATTGGCTGTAATGTGTCTGCTGAATGTGAGGTACAGGGTCAAAGTTTATGTTTATGTTTGCCGTCCGCGGCGAACCGTTCGGGACATCACTACAAATAAGCTAACCAAGCCAGGAAGTAACAGGAACTCTTGTCTGCTTAAAAAGTCTAGGGGTTTAACCAGATTTTTATAAAAGTCTAAAGTTCTTTTTAAATCTGCAGTTATTACAAATTGTGAACACTCTTACACATAGATTTTCAGCAAGTGGAAGTGCTTTAGGGGTCTGGAATGTCCCCACCTAAGTTCATTGCGGGCAGAAACTGCACATATTCTCACCCATTAGTGTCTCATTAAACTACAATTTCCTTTTGGATGAAGCAAGAGTCGTCAATCAGAGATGGTAGAAACACACATTGCAAAACTAAAGCACAGTTTATATATATATATATATATATATATATATATATATATATATATATATATATATATACACACACACATACATACATACATACATACACACACACACGATCTAAGTATATATTATTTAATTTTAAACGGTTTAATTTTTTTTCAGGCAGCAGGGGGAGTACCTGTCATAACAGGCACTCCCCCTGCTGGCAATGCCTTGGACGGCTATGCCGACCATGTGATCGCAAGGACCTCGCGATCACATGGCCCAGGAGGGCCGAAAAGGACGGGGGGTAAGTCCCCATATCACGATCACTGGCGACCGGGTAAGTACATAGGATGGTGGGGACGTGCTATGCCGCCCCCCCGGTGTTTAGAGCCAGGTACCCAAGGACGGCATAGCACGTCCTTAAGGGGTTAAACTTAAGGAGAGAAAAACAAGTAGCAAGAAAGGTGAGAACGGACAACAGCTCAATTAGCCTGCCCTTCTGTGGGTCCCCGCTCAGATCTAAAGCTGGTTTTAGCTCATCTTGTGCCATTACAGAGAGAACATATCTGAACCACCGAAGAGCAGGCTAATTGAGCTGTTGTCTGTTCTCACCTCTCTTGCTACTTGTTTCTCCTCTCCTTAAATCTAAAGGTTTGAACTTTTGCACTAAAAGCTATATTTTCACTCATATAAGAAATCACGGGCAGGCTGACTATTTACATGGAATAAGTCACTGCTTAAAGTGTGCCTATGAAGGTACACAAAACATTCCTTTAAAAGATTAGTAGAAAAAAAGTGTACATTATGTCAGCAGAAAAAAAAAAAAAAAATCTACACTGAATTATGATCCCTCTCCCGTTTGTCAATTACCGTATATACTCGTGTATAAGTCGATCTCATGTATAAGTCGAGGGCAGTTTTGTGACCAACAATTGTGAAATATGCTACGCCTCGTGGATAAGTCGAGGGTAAAACGCCTCACACACTCATACACACTCTGGGTGATAAAGCAGAGTGTTGAAGACGCAAGCCAACAGGTCGGCATCATAGGGAAAGAAGAACTGTGGATGTTACACTTCATCCATGCAACTGCAAGGATGATTGTGCGGTGTGCCACCTCAGAGGAGGAAAATATTAACACATTTTCCTACACCAACATTATTCACCAGTATGATAAAACGTTACATACACCAGCAGAGGTTGTAAAAGTTAAAAGAAAACTTATTTTAGGATCGAATAGCAGCATTTGGCCTTGTTCCACTGCTTTTCTCTGAGAAGCGATGGGTTAAAGGAGATCACTGGTGATGTCTGCTTAGATGTTGACGTCACCAAAAAGGGAGCGGGATGCTGCAGTTGAGGAGCCGTGGTGTGTAAATCTAGGATTTATCGTAAAGGTTATTTATTTTTTTAACCAGCAAAGGGGGATAGACACAAGAAAACCCATAGTCCCGATATAACCATTGTTATTTTTAGAACAATGTCCTCTTTAAAACACATCATGCCAAGTTCACTTTATCACAACGTGTTGACATTGGATTCCAAGTAATGGAGAGAAAAAAAATTAAACAAAACCCAATGCAGTATTTAGTTGTAAAATAGTTTTTATTTGTAAATGCTGATCTTCTAAATCTGTTTTCACAAATTCCAAAACCCATAACACTCTTTTATACTCAAAAAAAAATGTAAACAAAAAAAAATCAAAAAAAAAATAAATCATTTTTTTGCCAACATTAGATACTATTTTACAGGACAGAAAAAAAAGAAAAAAAAAAAGGGAACTGTAGGACAAATACTGGTAGGATTTTGGGATATTTTACAAGAAGAAAAATATTCAAGAAACAATTTCATACAGCTATTTATCGAGAGAAAAATATATACAATTGATTTCTTCTGTAAGATAAAAAATACATCATGCCATATACATTACAAGTTCAAGACTGTGTGACTGAATATATCAAGAGCATACAGTCCACTTTAATTGTGCACACAAATAAAAAGCTTTATTTTATATTCAGCATGTGAAGTGTCAGTACCAGAATTTTAAGTACAAAAGCAAAAATAAACAGAAAAAGAGAAAAAAAAAATTCAAAATGCGGATTAAGTCTCTACAAGCAAACACAAAACAATGTATTTCTTACTTAAAGAAATGTAAACAAAACCAATCCATACCAACTCTTTAAATTATATTATTCATATCCTATAGCCAGAATCCTGCAGTTGAAAGAATGTTTAAACATCTAATTAAAGATACCCCCCTTTATTAAACCTTTTATTTATTTTTTTTTGTCAGCAAAAATGCTTTTTAATTTTTTCCCCTGCCCTATATGCTTTTATCATTCTGTTTATTGATAGAGGTCCGATGACCTATTCTGACTATGTTTTCACGCTGAAAAAGATAAGAAAATAAAGGAAAAGCTCAGCCCTCCATTTGAGTAGTTTTAGCAGTTATTCACAGTTATCACAAATTATAAGCACAAAAAAAACCTGACTTGAAGAAACAGGGATGTTACAAAATGATCCGAAATGTGAAATCAAACGCTAGTTACAACCACTTTTTTTTGTTAAAGGAAGGAAAATAAATGTAACATGTAATTTTAACAACTACATATAGAAAAGAAAAAACAAGAGACAAAAAAACCCCATAAAACAAAAACAAACTGTTATCCCTGTCCCCTATATAAAATAATAATAAAAAAAAAAAAACTATTTTTTTTTTTTTGCTTTTTAAAGGTTTTGGTTATTAAGCACTAATTAAAACGGCAAATTATAAGAACACAAAATCATATTGTAACATCCCTATTATAATTTCATAAGTAGCATCCAAACTGCTGTTGAGTTTGGTAGCATTTGGTCAATCTATTATTTTTTTTATTTTTTTTTATACTGTTCTTATTTGCAAAAATATTTACAATTCTGTACAAAGTAACATCGTTAATTCTGCAGGGAAAAGCAGCAGCGTGGCTTTCTTCTAATTTTTTTTTTCTTTTAAAAAATAGCTTCATTCAGTTATCCAATAAATACAAAAAGTTTCTCTTATTTTACAGGAAAAAAAAATGAAAAAACAAAACAAAAAAAAAACTACTACAATAAACTGACTCATGGAATCAAGTATTTAAGTGTATTTTAGTGCAAGTTATTTTCCCTTAGCGCTATCCCTAAGGAAGTCATTTCAGTACATTCCTTGTTCAGTGGTGTCTACGTTTATTTAGTTTTCTTAATTAGAGGGCCTGCCCCTTTTTCAGATAAGGCTGTGTCCAGCACTTTGGGCATCTCACTTCGCTGGTGATATCAGTCTTACATTCATGTATATGACCACCTGCTGCTCCATTTGCTTCACTTAGCTCAAAGCACAAGTGCCGGACTTAAACCAAGTGACCATCTGGGCTTTCGCGAGAAGCCCACGATTTTCCTGGCCAATGGCCTCCTTCCTGACCGCGGCTTGTTTCACTTGCTAAGCAGGTTCGTTACAACAGAAATGTAGATTTCCTCTGCATGTTGCGTCACATATCAGGGACTTGTAAAACCTTGGTGTAGCAAGGAGTTCATTCAGTTCATCCATTTCCGACAATTCACAGCGCCACAGTGGCATGGGATCTTGTGCTGGTCATCTTCAAAATCAAACTTATAATCATAACAAAGCTGTAAACAAAAACACATCAAGGGCTGAAAAAGTCCTTACAAGTAAAATTTCAGATCTTTGTAAACCAAGCCTGGACTGTGGGATTAATCAAGCCATGTACAGCCCATATCTCTGATTAAAACTCCTACCACTGAGATAGAGAGACAGAGCTATACATATTTTCACACATTTCTTGACAAGGTCTTTCCCTGACTTGATAAAAATTTTGAACAGACAGGTGTCAGCAATTAGACTTTCTTTTGTACATAGGGTGGGGAGACAGGACAAACATAGAAACATAGAATGTGACGGCAGATAAGAACCGTTTGGCCCATCTAGTCTGCCCAATTTTCTAAATACTTTCATTAGTCCCTGGCCTTATCTTATAGCCTCATGCTTATCCCATGCAGACACTAAAGCATCTCTGATAAGTAAGGTATTAGATTATGTATAAAAACACTAGGTACTGGAACTACAGCCACTGATTTAATAAGAGTTTTAAAGGCAGGTTAATTGGGATAGCGACCCCTGGTGGTTG